GCCTCATGGGGTAAGGATGATCATGAGAAAGGTGCGGGATCAGCCCCGAACTACACGGGAGGAGCTTGTTAGTGATCTTAAGGCAGTTGGGACCACAGTCACCAAGCAAAACATTGGTAACTCACTACACCGCAATGGACTGAAATCCTGCAGCACCCGCAAGGTCCCCCTGCTTAAGAAGGCACATGTACAGGCCCATTTAAAGTTTGCCAAAGAACATTTAAATGATTCAGAGAAGACTTGGGAGAAAGTGCTGTGGTCAGATGAGACCAAAATCGAGCTCTTTGGCATTAACTCAACTCGCCGTGTTTAGAGGGGGAGAAATGCTGACTATGACCCCAAGAACACCATCCCTACAGTCACGCACGGAGGTGGAAACATTATGCTTTGGGGCTGTTTCTCTGCTAAGGGTACAGGACGACTTCACTGCATTGAGGGGCAAATGGACGGGGCCATGTACTGTAAAATCTTGGACGAACAAAGGAGTGGCTCAAGAAGAAGCACATTAAGGTCATGGAGTGGCCTAGCCAGTCTCCAGACCTCAATCCTATAGAAAATCTGTGGAGGGGGCAGAAACTTTGAGTTGCCAAACAACAGCCCAGAAACCTTAAGGATTTAGAGAGGATCTGTAAAGAGGAGTGGACCAAAATCCCTTCTGAGATGTGAGCAAACCTGGACCCATATTCACAAAACATCTTAAGGCTAAAAGTAGCTCATAACTCGCCGATTTTGGAGAAAATCTTTTCTTTTTTTTTTTAATGGGCGTGTCAGTCCTAAATTTAAGACAACTACATTTTTGCTCTGAGTATTTCACAAAGCGTTTTAGCGCTAAAACTAGCTCCTAAATCTGTGAAACGTTAGGAGTAGTGAAGAGGACTCCTAAGTCACAAAGACCAAGCCACAAACTATCCTAAAATGGCTGTTGCCGGCAATCTGCCTCGGAACATAAACATTTTAGAAACATTTGATGATAGATCTGCTTCTCCACGGCCTCCAGCTCGAGCTGCACCGAATGCAGCTCGAACGTGTCCTCACCTGCACACACTGGCCCAGCTAACCAATCACAGCACATTTCATTTTCAGAAGGCGGGCCTTCATTTGATACAGGAACTATTCGAGACGTTCACGCCAGAACTCTTAGTGGTAAGATAAAATGTGGAGTGGCTCAAGAAGAAGCACATTAAGGTCATGGAGTGGCCTAGCCAGTCTCCAGACCTCAATCCTATAGAAAATCTGTGGAGGGGGCAGAAACTTTGAGTTGCCAAACAACAGCCCAGAAACCTTAAGGATTTAGAGAGGATCTGTAAAGAGGAGTGGACCAAAATCCCTTCTGAGATGTGAGCAAACCTGGACCCATATTCACAAAACATCTTAAGGCTAAAAGTAGCTCATAACTCGCCGATTTTGGAGAAAATCTTTTCTTTTTTTTTTTAATGGGCGTGTCAGTCCTAAATTTAAGACAACTACATTTTTGCTCTGAGTATTTCACAAAGCGTTTTAGCGCTAAAACTAGCTCCTAGCTCGAGCTGCACCCAATGCAGCTCGAACGTGTCCTCACCTGCACACACTGGCCCAGCTAACCAATCACAGCACATTTCATTTTCAGAAGGCGGGCCTTCATTTGATACAGGAACTATTCGAGACGTTCACGCCAGAACTCTTAGTGGTAAGATAAAATGTTTTGTGAATACGGGCCCAGGTGACCAACTACCAAAAACGTCTTACCTCTGTGCTTGCCAACAAGGGTTTCTGCACCAAGTACTAAGTCATGTTTTGCTTGGAGATCAAATACTTATACTTATGCAAATCAATTTCTATCCTTTATATAATTTGTTTTTTTTTTCTGGATTTTTTTGGTTGGTATTCTATCTCTATCCATTAAAATAAACCTACCATAAAAACTGACAGACCCTTCATTTCTTTGTAAGTGGGCAAACTTACAAAATCAGCAGGGGATCAAATACA